CATGGTCATGGAAACCACAACCCTGCTGCCAACACCAGCAGCGCAGCCACTTGCTTACTTGGAAAACTCGTCTCCTCCTCCTCCCGTCCTTTTCCCCTCACAGGCAAGATTGAGGAGAAAACAACCTGGCCTCCCAGACCCTTCACCACCATTCCCAGAGCTCTGAAGTCCCGTCTGATGGTTTCCAGTTTGCCTTTTGTGTCGTTAGTGCCCACCTGGAAGAGCAGCAGAGGGTAGTAGTCTGATGCATGGACAAGCCTTGGCACTCTTTGCATGACATCTCTTCTTCGAGCCCCTGGCAGGCAGCAAAGCTCTCTGGACAAGAGGTCCGGTTGGCAGATAGGTGCCTCTGTCCCCTGCAGCAGGCAGTCACCCACAACAATCACTCGCCACTTCTTCCAGGTGTTCTTCCATGTTTGTCCATGGCACGGGGTCTGTCAGGCCAGTTGCCTCCCTTGGAGCCATGCCCAGCTCCTCCTCAGCTTGGAGGGCACTAAACTTGTTCTTTAAAGGCAAATCTTGAGGAGGAGCAAGAGCCCTTCTCCTTCTACGAGAGGTCACCAGTTGCCAGCCCTCTTCAACAGTGTTATGATGCACCTTTACACACGGTGCTGAGCCCTCTGACAACTCCACTGCAGTGGAGTCAGGGGACTGCTGGAGCTGCACAGTCTCCGAGAATACCCTGTCTATCTCCTGCTCATCCCCTCAGATGCTACGCAGCCTACTAACTTCCTCCCGTAACTCCTTTACCTGCCAATACAACTGGTCAACCACAGCACACCTCACACAGGAGAGCTGACTGTCAGCCCAGGCCTCCCAGAGAGGCCCCAGGCACTCCCTGCAGCCTGGCACCTGCAGGGCTGCATCTGCTGTCCGAGGGTCTGTCTGGGTTGAAGCCTCAGACACAGCTGAGGCAGCACCTCCAACAGCCACTGGGGAACATGCTCTGCAGCATGTCCTGACCATGCCTGGGGAAGGACACACCACTGTGCAAAATCAAGAGGTGCCTTCTCTGCCTTCTGGCACCCTTCTGCAGAAACTGCTGCACCTGGTCACTGCCTCTGTTGGCTGCACTCTGGGAGCTGTGCTCTAGGCCTGGCTCTTATATGGGCCTCTGCCTAGCAGTGACTCACAAGGAGTGAGCCACCCAATCAGGAGCCACCTGAAACAAAAGCCCCAACTCCCTGTGACCAGGGCAACTCAGGGAGCTCGTTAGCAGCAGCCCCACCTAGCTAGAACTTCCCAGGAGCAGTTAAGTCAAGGCCTCCTGCAGTTATGCTTGCCTAGCTCTTCCTTCCTGCTAGCAGCAAGCACTGTCTAGTTCCTCGGGGGTCCCCACTGGAAGCCTCCACAACTTCCAACAAGGCCCACAAAAGGCCCAGGCAGAGCCCAGACACTGCTGTGCAAAGTGCTGCGTCTGTTCGCTGCCTCTGCTGTCTTTGCTCTTCCTAGCTGGAAGCTTCTCCCTTCAGGCAGGATGCCAAAATGACTTCTGTCAGAGGCAGAAGCACTATGGTCCAGTGCTTGATTTGTCATCACAGTTATGGGCTGCAAGAGATGCTCATGCTGCTTAGGATCTCCATGAAGAAGGGGGAATGCAAGAGGAGGCTGACCTGAAATCAGCATCCTATACTGAGGCAGTGCAGGAAATATCTTGAAACTCAAGCAAAGTGGATTCAGCAAGTTATGGCTTAATTTTTTTCATGCTTTTGTACCAATTTCGGTCTATCAAGCTAATTTTTTTTTTTACCACTGTTGGGCAGGGGGAGCAAAAAAGGAAAATAAGCTTGCTTTACCTTCCACCCTCCATTTAAAGGTGTTCTTGCACCCATTTGGAACGAGACAAGCACTTCTGGGGATGGTTTATACCAACTAACCATTATAGAGCTCTGTGGAGATTCCTTTCCACTGATTTCATTGGCTGTTGAAGTATTTGGCTTACACTAGATTAAAGTTACAGGTGATGAGTCCAGGTTCACTGCTGCTCTAACGCAATCCCTACCTTTATCATGTGCCTTAGAGCTAAGCCTTGCCTCGACTACCTTAAGCTAAGACCAAAACTAAAATCATAGCTCAACCTGAGATCTATTGGGAGGAATCAACCCACTGTTTAATCCTAAAAGCAGCCCTAAATCAGTATCTGCCCTAGCCATTTCTTCAACCTGTCCCCAACGAGGCATGGTTGAAATCCTGGTGTGAATCATAGAGATCCCATCCCATGCCACACCTGGTTGAGGCTGAAGAGGAGGAAGAGTTATGGGGAAGATGGCAGCTTAGGCCCATGACCAGCAAGGAGGCAACAGGAGAATGGAAAGGCTGCTCTGGAACCCCAATCAGTGTGTCTCTTCCCCTATCCCTGCAATGCTTTGGAATTGAGGATGTCACAGGCTCTCATGCTGATTTGTCCCTACTCAGTGCTGCAAGTGCTGCCAAAAAGAGAACAAGAGCCAGGCAGGAGGAAATGGAGTCTGGCATTCTCTTCTCAGCTATTAATAATCAGGCAATCCTATGCAGAGCTGTTGCCATTCAGGGTCTCCCTGGTTCAGCACAGTGTGGTCATGTTGCTGCTGATCTGCAGTTCACAGAGCAGCAATGGCAGATCATGGTAGGGTGGTGACTGGAGGTTCAGAGCACACACAGAGGCACATCTGCAGGCTAGAAGCAGCCTTGCAATGCACATTTGCTCTGCAGAGTGAGAAAATGACATTTTTCAGGCAGATTCATTAGGTTTGGGGTGAATTCCTGCTTAATGTTCAAAAGAAATTGCCTCCCTTGCTGGAAGTGGAAGAGATATCTCCCATCCCCCCAAGAGCACTTGCTGCCTCTCTCAGGGCTCTAAGACACTCCTGAATTGTTGTTACCATGAGCAGATCCAGAAGCCTTGGTCTTTATGGGAAGTCTCCAAAGGGAGATATTTCCTGGAGTTGTCCTTATAGTAAGCATTGTAAGAAAGGAGCATATTACAGCAGGCAAACTTTTTGATGTGAAGATGAGATCCTAAAAGCAAGCCCTGAAACATCTCCAGGCCTCCCTGTCTTGACTCAGATGTCCTCTTGTGAGGTGAATCTATAGGACATCACCCCAAGGACTCTCAGTAGCTGATCCCAGAGCACACTTGTTAGCCACCAAGGATAAAACTGAAAGCAGAAGATTCAGTTCCCTTTCATAAATCTGGCTCTAAGTAATGCAAGTGTAACTGCGGAGAAGAGAGAGGAAAAGCAGGGGGAAGGACCAGTGCAGAAACCGTCCTCACACAATTCCCTCTGTTAGGTCTTTGCTTTATTTCCTCTCCAGCTGGTGATGGTAGAACTGAGCTCAGCCTTTGCTGAGCCATCTCTTCCTGCAAAAGGCTGGGACTGGCTTCTGCAAAGGTCTTTTGCTGCTGACTGGACACCCCATGGGCAAAAGGCTGTCTGCCCGTGCTGGACCTGTGACTGCAGAGATCCTCATCCTCCTAGCAGGGCTGTGTGGTGAGTGCCTTTTGCACCTGGCAACATGTTCCCCTGGCTGTTACTGTGCTCTTGCATTTTCTTGCATGTCCCCGGATGCTTGTTGCATACATTTTGGGGATGCACAACACCCCAAAATGCAGTTTAAGTGTTGTTACTGTAAATTTATAAGGCACACATTTAGAAAGTGATGTGCGAGTAACATCCATGGTTTGCTGGCTATAGCAGGAAGTGGGGTACATGCAGAACTACCAAGCCCAGCTGGTATAGAGCAGCTCTGTTCCAGTTGATTTCTGCAGGGGGCTCAAGTCTCATTCAAAAACACCAGCATTTTCTAGAAGGTGGATGCCACAAAAGATGAGAAAATTGTTTAGCTGTAGAGTCACACGGCAAATCAGGAATAAGCAAACAGCCTACAAGGAATGTAAACGAGGGCCATCCGCTGTCAAAATCGTGGTCGATGGTCAAAAAAGAAAGAATACAGAGTGAATTGCAAAGGAAATGAGGCAGATAGACAGTCAAGTAAAAGCAAGGGAGAAAAGAACTATAGAAATCAAAGGTGTGCAGAATGAGTATGTTGCTGCCATTTCAGCAAAGATGATGTGCTATAGAGCTTGAAGGGCTACAGAGTTGCTCCTGCAAAGAGCCTGTAACTCAATTACATGTGCAGATACAGATATTATATTTAGACTTGTAAGTTCACCCTAAAACCTGTGCAGAGTCAGACACTTGAACAGGAATTAGTAAGCAAAACACCTTAAAGCATTTTGGTCTTTCTGGTTTTGAGGGACTGTGTTCTCAGCTGTTTCTAACTAGAAAAGCCTGGAGTTTTCCTAAGAGCTGACTTCCATGTGGCCCTTTAAAAAATATTCCCCTGATAGAGTCATTGTGCACTTCTGCTACCAGAACAGGGGTTAGGCTGCACGGGACAATTAGCAACCCTTCTTTTGTTTATGTAAGCAAAATCATAACATATGCAGAAATAGACCAGGCAGTGCCTGGGTCACTCTGGTTTTGTGTTCTACTGTCTCTTGACAAACATGTTCCTGCTGCTCTGTCATCATTCACATCTTTCTCTCTTGCTGGTTCTTCCTTATTCCTCTCAGTCAACAGGTAGAGACTGTTCAAACAGAAAATGCATTCCAAGCTGTAGTTTAGCCTTTTCTTTTCCAGGTTTTCTCATTAACATTTCCTTCCCTTCCCTTTCCTTCATTATCAGCTTCAGGTCCTGCCCAAGTAAGACTCGTAAATGGCCCTGATGCTTGCACGGGTCGGCTGGAGGTGTTTTATAATGGTACCTGGGGCACGGTGTGTGATGATCACTGGGACCTAGCTGGAGCCCGTGTGGTGTGCAGGCAACTGGGCTGCGGGATGGCACTATTGGCCTTTGGTGGCGCTCGATATGGGCGAGGAGCAGACCCAATCTGGCTGGACAACGTGCACTGTGTGGGGACAGAAGTCACTCTTTCTGAATGCAAGGCCCAGCCCTGGGGAGTCCACAACTGCGGGCATGGAGAAGATGTCAGCGTTGTGTGCTCCGGTGAGTCTCGATCCCGTTACATCTTGTATCACCTACTGTGGATAGCAGTGTGATCTGGCAGAGGAAGGATTAAAAGACAATCAGGCAAACTAGAGTTCCTCCTTCTTGGTCATGGTTGACCTTATGGGGTACCAGAAAGCCCTGTGTGACCAGAGCACAAAGCATGGGCTAGAAAGTGGTCCCGCTAATGTCAAACTGCCCTGATCCTCTGTTATAGTGGAGCCCAATGCTGTAGCAAGTTCAGTCCTAGCAATGAAGTTTTCTGTCTTATGCAGCCTGCAGTTCCTTCCTCAGACTGCCAATCCAAGCTTGAATTAACCTATCTAAATATCTGAGTTCATAGTCATTGCCCCTTTTGAACTGAATGCAAGCTGCCTTTATAACCATGTCTAGTCAATATGGTCCGTAGTGTTTGAGACATGACTCATGCCATCCTAAAGCAGATGCCTGCATTTGTTGGAGCAGCTGGTTCTCCTTCAGCATCTGCTTTAAGATGAGATGAATAACTTTGTCACTCATAGATGCAGTTGACTGGACGTCCTCTGATTTCATCATGAGCGTAGGCATCTGGCTCACAGATAGACAAATATATATGGTCACCAACAGGTAGGACCATTAATTTTGAGCCCAGTTCCATCCCTACAGATAGGCAAAATGACTCTCCTCTCCATCAGTTTGTGAAGAATCAGCCTTTTTACACTATTGCTCCAGATAATTTCTAAATGCTGTTCTCAGCTTCCAAAGTTCTCGTGTTCCCCCCACATCTCTTGCAGCTGTTTGTCTTATCCCATGTTGAAAATGTCCAGGCTGCATCTCCTTGCAGCCTCCATTTCTCAACCTCACTGCTCTCTGGCTGCACAGTGATTAATTCCTCCATGGGTACATCCTGACTGTTGGATGTCATTCTGGCTTGCCTAGTGGGAGATGTTGCTCCTAAGTGTTGATGACAATTGCATGCCAAGCAATGTCCTTGACTGTTTGCTCCCTGGGGGTGTTTGCAGGGACACCTAATCCAGATGCAATCCTGATCAGGCTGGTGAATGGCTCAGAGCTCTGCTCGGGCAGAGTCGAAGTCTTTCACGCTCAAGAGTGGGGCACCGTGTGTGATGACAGCTGGAACCTGATAGACGCTGAGGTGGCATGCAGAGAGCTGGGTTGTGGCTCAGCACTGTCAGCTCCAACCGGGGCTCACTTTGGGCAAGGGTCAGGCCACATCTGGCTGGATGAAGTGAGCTGTGCCGGGACGGAGGCGGCCCTTTCTCTGTGCCAGGCCAGATCCTGGGGAAACCATAACTGCAACCATGGAGAGGATGCTGGTGTTGAATGCTCAGGTAACTCTGATTCCTGTCTCATCAGGGCTGACATTGAGGCTGTCACATTTTTTTTCTTTTTCTTTTTTATTTTTTTTTCATGGGGAAGGTGCTAGGAAAGGTGCTGTGCTGCACAAGTGCTTTGAGACGGTCCTGGATATAGATGTCTACATTGCAGTCCTATAAATGGCGGTGGGAAGAATCCCTGTCCAGTTTATGTGTTCTAGGGAAGGGAAAAGGGAGCTTAAAGGGTGACATCTGCCGTGATGTTACACTGCTTCCCAGGTGACTGTGAATTTGGGGAAGAGGGGAGTGCATGAGTAGAGCCTGCTCTTCTCCTTGTGGGATCATAACTTCTTCATCCTCTGGCTGTGAGATTCTGTGATGATTTAAGCAACAGACCCCTGACTCCAGGGCAGTTGCAGCTCTGTCATGTCTCTTGAGACATTTGGATATTTGGCACTTGTCTCTTTTCAGAACCAACCCAGCTCCGGCTGGTGAATGGCTCCAGCCGCTGCTCAGGGAGAGTTGAAGTTCACCACAACCAGCAGTGGGGAACTGTGTGTGATGACAACTGGGGCTTCAGTGATGCAGAAGTGGTTTGTAGGCAGCTGGGCTGTGGGACAGCCATATCAGCCCCTGGCAAGGCTCAGTTTGGGCAAGGACATGATCCCATCTGGCTGGATGATGTGAACTGCACAGGGACAGAAGGTGCCATCACTGAATGTAGTTTGAAGTCCTGGGGAGCCCATAACTGTGACCATGGCGAAGATGCTGGTGTTGTGTGCTCAGGTAAGTCTAGTCTGGGTCATGGCTTCAGAGACTATTTTTCTGTAGAGACGCCTGCATCTAATTTCAGTTTGTTTCCCTTGTACACATTGTTTTCCTCTGTGTATAATACCACTGTGAGCAACAGTCAAAATGCTTAGGAGGTGAGGTAACTTTTCCTGTAGGCATCATATCAACAGATTATCTGGATGTGTTCTTACCTATTTGTGCTATTCCTCTTTCTGGCACATTAAAATGCAGCAACTCACAAGTGGATCGCTATGCATATCATGTGAACATGCTCTGGATGTTTGAATACATGTGCTCAGAGGAGTCGTTTGGCTGTTGACACCCATGGCACATGGATCCAGGCCATTCCAACTCTATGTCCCAAGGTTCTTCTTGACCCTTACAGGTGGTCCAGGGTTGAAGGACCTTATCCCTTATCCCTTCAGCTTGCAATAGGATGCTAGTCCTATGTTACCAGAAGAGCAAATCTGGGTGACTTCAAGGAATACTTTGCAAGGAGTTGTAGTAGAGCAAAGCAAACAAGAAAATACCATGGAAAGACTCTCCTGGTCCTCATGTTTTATCCATGTGCTGAAGGCAACCACTTATTGGGCTATCTGTCATGAGTGCAGTCTTAAAACCAGTTGAATTTCAAGACCCTGCTAGCCTGGTACCTCTCCTATTGCTTCCAGCCAAAATATGCTGGTAGATGCTTGATACTGCTCTGCTCTTTTGCCAGCACCTGCTTTCAGCTTGGCCAGTTATCCTCTTTCTTTGTTGTTCACTTCCCTTGTGTTTTGACAGAGTGAAGCCATGTCTCTGTCCAGCCTTCATTTTGCTATTGTAAATAAATACTGCTTTTGAAAATCTTTCCTCTTAGATGAGTTCCCCTAGGGAAATGTGATCACCCTAGCAGGCCTACTTATGTTTGTTCTGATGTTCATAGTTTGAACTGGGCGTTCAAGAGTCTTCCTGGCATTGCCTCTTATCTTCTCCATGGGAAACACTCTCCAAGAGGCATCCTGCAAAGCTTTTACCTTCTCTGCAGTGCACTGGCAGCTGGTAGCCATCTTGTCATTAGTGAAGAGAACCAGGTCCTTCTCTTCCTCTGTTGTTTCTGATTGAAGAGGCTGATTTGAATGGGGGAAGTACTGTTATGCACTTGTTATATTGTATGATTTCACATAGTTGCAAACACCAGCAGGGCATCTGCTTCATAGGACTGAGGTACACAGTATCCTTGTTATTCATTTTGCTCATTCCCCCTTTAGAGCCTACAGAGTTACGGCTGGTGAACAGCCCGAATTGGTGCGCTGGGCGAGTTGAGGTGCTTCACCACCAGCAGTGGGGAACTGTGTGTGATAATGGCTGGGACTTGGAGGATGCTAAAGTGGTATGCCGGCAGCTGGGCTGTGGTGCTCCAATATCTGCTCCTGGCTGGGCTAGATTTGGCAGAGGCTATGACCCCATCTGGCTGGAGAAAGTGAGCTGCTCTGGGACAGAGTCTGCCCTTACCGAGTGCAGAGCCAAACCATGGGGAGTCCACAGCTGTCATCATGGGGAAGATGCCAGTGTGGTGTGCTCAGGTAACCCTCTGCCACGTTCCTCCTGCATATTTGTATCCTGCTGCCCCTGAGGATATGCATAACTATTTTCTCCAGCAGGCAAGGAAATGAGAATAAGGTCCCTGCTGCAAGGAGTGGTTACAAGGAAGATCCTATCCCTGCTTCTTTCCCCATTTTTTCTGGCTAGTTTTCAGCTCAAGTGCATAGCTACTGAGCTTCTGACTGTGTTCACATGGTGGAAATGACTGTGCTGGGTTCAATGGGAATCTCTGCTCCTGCCATTTCATAAAGGTATCACGTCAGGGAGTTTAGAGTACAGTGGGCAGCAGTCCTGCATGAGGTCCCATGCCCAGGTTTATCTCTGCGCACTCTTCCTACAGGATCATTTGTTTCTTTGTTTCAGACCCAATGGCACTTCGGCTGGTGAATGGCCCAAGTCGCTGTGCAGGGAGAGTCGAAGTGCTTCATCAGCACCAGTGGGGGACGGTGTGTGACGATGAGTGGGGATTAAGTGATGCAGAAGTGGTGTGTCGGCAGCTGGGCTGTGGGATGGCAGTCTCAGCCCCTGGCTCAGCTCACTTTGGGCGGGGACGTGACCACATCTGGCTGGATGACGTGAACTGCACAGGGACAGAAGCTGCCCTCTCCGAATGCAGAGCCAAGCCTAAAGGAGTCCATAATTGCCACCATGGAGAAGACGCTGGCGTAGTGTGCTCAGGTAGCTGCTGTTCATCTGCTGATGAATTAGTGGGTGCTAACACTGCAAAAGCTTACCAGACCAATCTTCCCTGCTTGTCTATTGCAATGCTCTTTCCACATGAGAATCCCTAAATCTCTAATGCTGAGCCAAGATAAGTGTTCAACATGTGGGAAGTCATTCTCCATGTCATATCATACACTTGAGCTCTCCTTCACTAAGTCTACCAGCATGAGATAGCATCTCTGTCTCTTCCAATTTCAGACCCAACTGAGGTCCGACTAGTGAATGGCTCCAACCGCTGCTCTGGGAGAGTTGAGGTGCTGCATAACCAGCAGTGGGGAAGTGTGTGTGATGACAGCTGGGACTTGGACGATGCAGAAGTGGTGTGCCAGCAGCTGGGCTGTGGGACAGCCATATCTGCTCCACCTAGAGCTCGGTTTGGGCTGGGGTATGAACCCATCTGGTTGGATGATGTGAACTGCACAGGCTCAGAGGCTGCCCTGTCTGAGTGTGGGGCCAGGCCGTGGGGAGAGAGTAACTGTAACCACAAAGAAGATGCCAGCGTAGTGTGCCTAGGTAAGCTACCCCCCCCCACCCCACCCCTTCATGGTGCAGCTCTTGCAAGGAGCAATGTTAGTGACACTGATGGAGTCAGTACACCATTGTGCCCCTTAAGGGAAGTATATAGGTAACTCAATAGAGAAACCCATTCACCTTGATACCTGAGGGCATTTAAAATGGAATTAGATGCCTTTGTGATAATCTCTACATCGCATTGCAGGTGGCTATGGTCTGAGGTCCCACCTTCCCCACGCTCTTTGGTGAGCTACAAGAATTTATGTGTTTCACCTGCATTTGCCTTTCTTAATTCCAGGACCAGCTCAGCTCCGGCTGGTGAATGGCTCCAATCGCTGCTCTGGAAGAGTTGAGGTGCTTCATAACCAACAGTGGGGAACTGTATGTGACAATGACTGGGACCTGAGTGATGCTCAAGTTGTGTGCCAGCAGGTGGGCTGTGGGATGGCCATATCAGCTCCAGGCTCGGCTCAGTTTGGACAAGGGTCGGGCCATATCTGGATGGATGGTGTTGAGTGCACAGGGACAGAATCCATCCTCTCTGAATGCAAGTCCAGGACTGGGGAACGAGGTAATTGCAACCATGAGGAAGATGCTGGTGTTGTGTGCTCAGGTAATTTTTTTTTCCCAAGTAGGGGAAATATTGGACTGTGTTGTAGGAAGGGGGAACAGTGACTTTACTGGTGACATGCTCTCCTCTGAGTTTGTGAAACATCAAACCCCAAAGTAGAGCTGGGATGGCTGTTCTGTAGAGGGCTTGTCTACCTTGTTCAGAGGCTGTGCTTGCCAGTTAAACCTTGGGAGGTGGAAGACTGGAGCAACCTGAAACACACTGAGTTGGTGCTGAACAAAAAAATTCAAAAAAAGCAGTGAGAGACATACAACCAAGCCTCTGAGGAGATGGAAAGAAAAATACTTTACCTGGGACCTAGAGGATGGGATTTAGATTTTATTGCAGTCCAGAAAGCCACTAAAAATTGTTAGATTGAGAGTAGGATAGGAAGAAAGGACCCATCCTGCAAAGGTACTTTGGGATTTTATTCTTTTCCAGAAAGCACGTCTAAATTTTTTCTATTCCATAAATTGTCTTATTCTAGCTTATGTTAAACTAAAACCTAAGTTTAAGTATTCAAAATCCCTCTGGTATTTGGGGATGTTAAGTACAATAGCAGGACTAGGCACTTCCTTCTCAAAGGTCTGGGTGATTCAGCATCCCCAAGCACCACAGCAGCATGGTGTGTGAGCACAGAACTATTTCCCTTGATAGAAGTTTGGTGTCAAGGGGGTCTAAATTGCAAGATCATTCCATTACACCAGCTTTCAGACATGTCATTCTCAGTGGCTGGAAATATCAGAAAAGGAGCAAAACTTGGTGATGTACATGAGTCACATGAACACAGTGAGCAGTCCAGGAACGCAAAGAGGAAATCAAAGAAAGGTATCTCCAAAGAATGAAGGCTTTGTGTCCACTTGCAAAAAGTGTGGGTCTTCTCCCATTTCAGATCCCACAGCACTGAGACTGGTGAATGGCTCAAATCTCTGTGCTGGAAGAGTCGAAGTGCATCATAGAGAGCTTTGGGGAACTGTGTGTGATGATGACTGGGACATAAAGGATGCTGCAGTGGTGTGCCATCAGCTGGGGTGTGGAACAGCACTCTTGGCCCCTGGCAAAGCTCGATTTGGGAAAGGACATGACCCCATCTGGCTGGACAACATGAACTGCACAGGGAGAGAAAGCACCCTGTCAGAGTGCCTGGCCAGGCCGTGGGGGGAACACAACTGCAACCACGGAGAAGACGCTGGCGTAGTGTGCTCAGGTATCAAGTTGGAAAATGGTCTAGTCAGGCAGCAAAGCATGCTGTCATTATCCCCCTGTTTAAGCTGAGTCAGTGCTGCTCTGAGACTGTCCACTTGTCAGTGGCTCAGGAGGGAGAATGAAGATGCGATTTCATCCAGCACAAGCTGGATCCTACACTTTTAGACTCCACCTGACACAATGGAGTTGTGTTTAGCACCATGGTCAACACCTTCATCTCAGGATGGAGATTTTTGAGTATGCACTCAGCATGAGGTAGTGGGGAATGATCCTGACACTAGGCAACCTTCTTTATGATGAAAACCTTCCAGGGTAGAAAAAGGAGGAATTCTACCTGCAAACTACAGTATGTGGAACACCCTCATTGCTGAACTGGGAAGCTGAGAGTCATGGTTGGTTTTGGAAGACTTATCTCAATATCCAGCCTTGCCCCTCTCTTCCCACCTGCCTTTGGAAAAGTCTACAGAGTTGCAAGTCCTCTGGGCTCTGTTCAAGGTCAGTGGGGACAGAGAGGTATCTCTAGGTACAGGCCATGACTTTCTGAGAAGGATATCTTCATTTATTGAATTAGCCAAGTAAGGAGGCACCTATTTGGGAGCCACCTGGACTTGAAAGCACTCTCCCTTATGTAGGCTGTATGTTCTACAGACACCTCTATCTAGACTGGTCACTGAGGCTTCTTTGAGAAAAAAAACTAGCAACTATGGCATTTGATTTGCAAAGACAACCATTTGGGGATAGTCCAGCCCTAGCAGTGCCCACAGGGAATAAATCACTCTACAAAATGCCCTGCTTGGAGCAGTAAGACTGAAGGCACATTGAATGGCCTTTGACTTCCTCAATGGCCAAGCCCTGAGGCAAAGACAGTTGTGATGCTTCCTCGATAGTGCATGCATGTGAGTTTTGAATGGCCATTACCAGTGCAATGGGCAGCTGGGGGTGCTGTACCACAGCACGTAGGGGACTGTGTGTGAAGATGACAGGTGCTTAGCAGAAGCTTTCTCTGAATCTTCTTTCCTGAGTTCAAGGATCACAGAATAATGTAGGTTGGAAGGAATCCCTGGAGAGCTTTGATCCAATTTCCCACTCACAATTAGACTATGTTGATCATGGCCTTCACCAGACAAGGTTTGAAGGTCTCCAGGAATGGAGATCCACTGCCTTTCTGGTCTCTGTTCCAATATTAGCCACACTTATGTGGTAAAAAATATTTTCCACTGTCTCATGGGAACATGCCATTGTGTAAGTTGTGTCCTTTTTGCCTTATCCTCGTGCACTGCTGAGAAATTCATTTTTCTCTCTTGAATTAACTCTATGTGAACAGAGTTTTACTTTCTCCCCACAGGCTCTGTTATACTACAGTCTTCACAGCCTCTGCCACTGCTCCCATTGCTTGTCTTAATCATGGCACCAGTCTTGATCCTGCTTTGTGTGTTTGTTCTGTACCAGAAGAGGAGAAGAATGCAAAATAGGGCTTTTAATTCCACTCCAGGTGAGCTCTGCTGTAGGTGAAGAGAGAAGCCGAATTTGTAGAGGAAGAGGGTGGTTGGAAATGAGGTTTATTCAAAATGTTGATGCCAGCAAACTTTTGAACAGAATATTCCTTTGGCTCATATTGAAAGGAACTTCCTGTTCTGCTTTGACCTCTTCTTTCCTGGTCCCTTTCACCCTTCTGTCATTTGCTTTCTTCCCAATTTTCTCCTTTGACTTTGACACCATCTCTTTGTTGGTTTATGATACACTTGTTGGTGGAACTGCCTTTGGAATGGGAGTGCCTTGTTGAATGTTGTCCTGCATTTCCTTCTACTATCTGCACAAACTTTACATTACATGGGCTCATTTACCTCATGCAAAGGGCAGCTTTGCTGATTTCCAGCTGCCCCTTTGGAAGGGCACCTGGGATATCTCACCATTTGCCCAAGCAGTGTGAAAGGACGAGGAACTGTTCTGTTTCTGAACTTTTAGGGATGTGGTGGACACTTCTGGAAACCAGAATGCCCATGATAAACAGCCCTGCATTGTTCTTTCTGAGAGATGAAAGAAAGGATCAGGGGCTGGCCCAATCTCTTCCTCATGCTGCTAGTTTTATCAATGCAGTCCTCTACCTTTTTCACCTCAGAAAAGGGACAGGACAGCAGGAGGGAGCCAAGAGACACAAGCTACACAGGGATGGGTAGTTCAGAGAAGTTGCTGTGAATTCTGCATTGGAGCCCAGGAGAATATGCCCTTTAACCACCTGTTACTTGTAGGCCTGTGTATGATCAAATGAGAGAGATATCCTTTTCAGGGCCAGATGTATCCCATTTCTCTGCCACATGCTGAAGGTTTTGTCTAGAGAGGGGTACGAGGGGTATCAGCCCCCTGCAAAAGCAGAGTCTTAGTGTCTCATTAAAAGGGCAGCTTTCAGGCTGTGTTCCCTGGGATGCGTGGGGCAAGCCTGTGACTGAATCCCTGTGCTCTACAGGCTTTGTGCGCATGGAGGATCTGCTCATCTCTGACATCTCCCTTCCAACACATGGAGCAGAACAGATGGCAGCAAGGGCAGTTCCTACTGAGGATACTGACAACAAAAGAGCTCACCTGATGGGATAAGACACCACG